CTTTTAAAAGTAAGATTCTTTATGAACTATCACCCATCTTATGTTTATGGCACAATATTTTTTAATATTAGTACGAAAATTAACGTTAAATTATGAGGTGACAGAAAATTCATAAAGATCCCACTTTAAGATAGTTTTCTTAGCATTTCTCTTTGACTATTTTCAAACTTCGACATCTATTTTGTTTAGAAGCCAAATAAACTTGTGATTATTTAAGAAAATCATCAAGTTTCCAATTTCTTTTAAGAAAATATTTTTTGCGTTGTCACCCTCAAGTAATAGTGAGACTCACCACTTTATTTATCATCAATTGATGAATTTAGAATCGAGATCTAAGTAGTGGTATGGTGCAAATCTCAAATAATAAATAGAATGGTAAGTATTATCATTACTCATGGTGAGCAAAATTATACTTTCTTTTAAAAAAATGCATGCACGAAATTTAACAAAAGTAACAATCTTTTCAAAACTTACCAATATTCATATGACAACCTTATATAAGAATTTGGGTCATCGTCGGATTCTCATTGTGAGGATCACAGGAATCCTTGAATCATGTATGTTAATTGTTCATCATACATCGTGCGGTCATAAATCATTTTAAATATTTTTATTTAAAATTAAACACAAATTGTATTTGATAAAAACTGACTGCACAATATACGATAAACAGACACGATTCACAGATCCTCATGATCTTCATCAAAAGGATCCAGAAAGGATCCTCATCAAAAGAATCTGGGGAGTATCCTGTTGGCTTTCATAAGACAAAAGGTAGGCTTTGGCTAAACTTTTCCCCCTTCAACCCATAAGCATTTTTTTCGTGAGTTTTACAATTTGGAATCCCGATCCTAGTCGGATTCTCTTTGTGAGAATGTCAGAGATCTACTAATCATATTCGTTTCTCGTACATCGTGCGGTCAGAAATCATTTTAAATATTTTTATTTAAAATTAAATACAAACAATACCTAATAAAAACTAATTACATAATATACAATGAATTGACACGATTTACAGATCTTCAGAATCCTCACCAAAAAGATCGGAGAGGATCCTGTCACCTGTGGGTACAATTTGTACTCATTTTTCATGTGCTTTTTTGTTCCCACAAAACCAGTTACAATTTCAAAGAAAAGATAACACGTGGGATGAACTAAGTAGTGGTGTAGTGGTTGCTGGTAAAAAATAGCATTAGCAGAACACGTGTTAATATTAAGTGGTGATTAGATGGAAATTGGTGGATCGGGATCCTTAGGCAAAAGATGAGGATCCTTCTAACCAAGCACATCGAACTTTTGAATTTTATCTAATGATTACAATTATTATAATTTTTAGAGAGATATTCTGTTTGTAATCGTTGGATAAAATTTCAACGGTCCGATGAACTTGATCAGGAGGATCTTCATTCTTTGCTCAGGAAGGGATCCTGATCCGAAATTGGTAATGACAGAGCTGACATTTGGCACGAGGGACGCACACATTTACAGTGGTTTGCATTTACCCGGCACACGGCCAAGTCCCCACCACCACGTGTATGCTACAGTTAAAGTGAGGCGGGTGGTCCGGACCAATAGGCCAGCCACACGCCCTCAGCAAGTTTTGTCTCACCAAAATCATCACTCCAACACTCTTCTTGTTCTCCGGTGGTTTGAGAACAATTTAGGTAAGGATGTCCAATCACTTCTTACTTACGTGTCTTATGACTAGTTATATACAATTCTACGTTGCTTTCACCTACTACAAGAAGTGTTTTGATCATACAATTTTATCGAAATTTTTATCGTAACGTCTTACTTTAGAGGTGAGTAAAAAACTTGGAATATGAGCAAATTAGGAATTAATAGGAACCAAGTGATGGAGAAATTTTCCTACTAATTTCATTCTTTTTGCCAATTCACTATAGCAATTTTTTTTGGTTTTGGTCAAACGCATTCACGCGATTTTATTAGTCTACATAACGTGTTAAATTATGAGCAAATGACAAATTTATATTTTTGTATATTATATAAATAAACACGTTTATAACAAATGTGGCACCAAATAATATCGATCAATTGTGTGCCTACTTTTGGTAGCTATGAGCCTATGATGATGTAGAGAATCACCCAAAGTTTCTGAATTTTTTTTATCCTTATCTACTAATATTATTGTGCTGATCTTGTAGTTAGGTTTTAATTGTTAAAGTTTTGACTTAAACACACCAAAATCAATAAAATGCGAGTAATGTTACTTTTATCACATTTTTATACTATATTTGTAGCACCTCTCAAATAGAAGCAGAGTCCGTTAACACATCTGAGTCTCATCTCTATTAAATACATTATATAAATGTGGTATAAAAAATTGACAAATGAACTAATAGCCCGACAAAAGAGAAACTACAAAATAATTTCGCGAGGTCGAGATACCTCATAAATATTGAACACTAATAATTGCTTACAAGAAGATGATGCCATCTCCAACCGAAGGGTCCAGAGGGCCGACAATAGCCCGAAAACCGTCTCCAACCGAGGGTTAGGCCAGAGGGCTCTGGAATCTGGGAGACTCCCACGGAATCGGAGAGGTCTGGAAGGCTGGCTGGCTGGCTTTTATTTATTTATTAATGTTTTGTTATTTTTGTCGATTATAATCGACAGAAATACATGCTTTTATTTAATATAAATGTATTACTGTCGATTATCTTAAGAAAAAATTCAAATGCAACGGCTAGTCGCCGTTGCATTTTTTTTATTTTTTATTTTTACAGTTTTATTTTTTTTTATTTACAAAATTTTTCATATAACTTTTATTTTTTCCTATAACTTCTATTGCACAAAATTTATTTCATATTTTTTTTTAATTCCATTTTTTCCTATAACTTCTATTTCACAAAATTTGTTTCATATTTTTTTTTAAAATTCCATTTTTTTTCCTATAACTTCTATTTCACAAAATTTGTTTCATATTTTTTTTAAATTCTATTTTTTTCCTATAACTTCCTAAGCCATTATACAACATTAAATTAAATTAAGTAACATGAAACAACATTAAACAATATTAAACAACATTAAATAACATTAAGCAACATAAAAATTATACAACATGAAACTTAAACAACATTTTTAAAAACATTTAAAAACATTTAAGTTGTAGTTTTTAAATAATAAATTATGTTTGGCCCTATGACCCTTTGGCCCTCGGTTGGAGACGGTTTTTTGTGAAAGGGCTAAACCGAGCCCTCTGGCCCTCTGACTCTCGGTTGGAGACGGAGGCAAATATGGCCTTGTACTGTTCATTAAAATATTAATATCTTGGAGAATATTGGAGGGCCAGAGGGTTAAAACGAGCCCTCTGGCCAGCCATCGGTTGGAGATGGCCTGAAGCTTGCTCAAAATAGATTGTACCCAAAAGATGAGAGAGGCTCAGGTTGACCAACTTATCAGCAACAAAATTCATCTCACGATAGATATGTCAAATATCATATTTCCAATCATGCATTAATATTGAACGGCAAGCTTGAATCAATTCACCAATAAAATAATTATCAGTGACATCATGTGATATTAGCTGGACCGCAATTGCAGAATCAAGTACCATGTGATATCATTTTAATGTAATGAAACCATGTTTTTAATTATCTTCCAATTGAACTTTTTAGATTTCAAATAGGCGAATAATGTGCAATTTATATCCTTGAAATGAAGACATACATGAGCACATTATTTAGTTTCAAGGAATTGAAAGGTTGAAAATTTATATCCTTGAAATGAAGACATGCATGAGCACATTATTTAGTTTCAAGAAATTGAAAGGTTGAAAATTCAGGCCACAGAGAAAGACAGTAAATTGATAAATAATTAATGACATAGGTATGCTACTAGATTATGGTCCCAATTCATATTTTAAAATAAATCAATGATTAATTAACTTGATGGGGACAAAAATAATCTTGGATAATGATGTGGATAGTTCATTTTTAGTACTACATGAGGTTTTTTCTATTTTTTTTTCCTAATTTTCCTCTTAAAATTGAATTTGATTATCTTCTATTTCTTTTCATCTTCCATAAACTTTTGAATATATAACAATATTTTACCACAAGGGTAATATATTTGTGCATAAACTTTACCATAGAAGTATGTAAAGGAATGGCAACCTATTGATTTCGGGTATGACATATATGAAAAATTAAGTACGAGTATGACATACATGAAAAAATAAGTACAGGATAATCCGATAAGAATTCCTTCTCTTACTCATTCATTTTCATTCTGAAACCAGTAATTAATCATGTTGTGAGGGAAGAGTGATTTGAGTTAAGAACCACAATTGGCCACAAATATGGAACTCCACACAAATATACAACGTCCTCAGAGTTCATGAGAATTGAAATTGAGACCTCTTACACATACAAAGTGAACCACTAGATCTGTTGCTTGCGGTTCCAGCTTAAATATGTCATCATTTTAATAAATAACGAACTCATAAATTTTAGAATCGGAATAACTTCATATTGCACTTTGACGATCGAACCTATTTACATTCTTTTATTCTCATTTAACGATCGTCTATTAAAAATCATGGTTCACCATGTTGTCATATTATTTCATATAAATAGGAATGCAAAGATAATAATTCCTTCTCATACTTATTCATTCTCATTCCGAAACCAAGTAATTAATCATGTTGTGAGGGAAGAGTGATTTGAGTTAAGCAACACAATTGGCCACAAATATGGAACTCCACACAAATATACAACGTCCTCAGAGTTCATGAGAATTGAAATTGAGACCTCTTACATATACAAAGTGAACCACTAGATCTGTTGCTTGCAGTTCTAGCTTAAATATGTCATCATTTTAATAAATAATGAACTCATAAATTTTAGAATCGGAATAACTTCATATTGCACTTTGACGATCGAACCTATTTACATTCTTTTATTCTCATTTAACGATCATCTATTAAAAATCATGGTTCACCATGTTGTCATATTATTTCATATATATAGGAATGCAAAGCTTCGAACTTCATGTCGCATACGTTCTTCAGTCCGTGTTCCACTGTTCTTTATAAGTGTCCAAAGGCACTGTTCACAGTCTCAGAGAGAGAGAGAGAGAAGAGAGAGACCCACCAGCAGCAGGTGTAAAGCATTCAGCATCTTTTGATCTTTCTCGTCACTACCCTCCGTCCACGTGCGTCCTCTCAGACATTCACAGGTTCGCTTCAATAAAAACCGACTCAGCCCACCATTTTTCTTTGTTTTCCTCTCCATTTTATATAATCCCAAATTTTTTGTTTGCAACTGCGACATTTCATTGGGTTGTTGGGTTTCAATCTTTTCCTTCTTATCTGAATTGGGTTCCCGTTGTTCTTATCCAATTGGCGCTTCTTGTGCAGGTCTCGCCGATTAAATTCCCTCTCCGTACGTAGAAGCCGCCAGAGTTATTTAATATTTTTTGAGTTGGGCTTGGTTACAATTTCAAAAAGTTACTGAATTTATTTCTTCCATTGATGGATATCTCTCTGGAGATCGTGAATGTAGCGTTTTTCGTAGTGTTATTGACGTGGGTTTTGCTTGATATTACGAGGGGAAGAAGAAATGGTAGCCAAACAGGTTTGAGATATAGAGCAGAAGATAGAGGGTGTAAATTTTCTGATTTGGTCACCTTTTCTGCAAATGCTTTAATCTCAAGTTTTTACCTTGGTTTTGGGATTTATGAGTATTGGGGTGGTGGAATTGTAAGCTGTAAATCCATCTTCTCAGGCATGACTTGGGTTTTTGCCACAGTAATTACAGTTTACTCAATGAATTACAGAACTCACAGTGAGGCAAAAAGGTGGCCTTTGGTCCTCGGTTTCTGGTGGATATTTTCCTGCGTTTTTTACTCACTTTCTGTGTGCTTTTACCTCGTTGCTCACTTCCAATCCTACAATTTCCCACATATTTTCCCAAAGGCTAATTTAGTCGATTTCGCTTCGTTTCCTTTGTCAATACTGCTTTGTTTTTGTGCTTTTAGTTTTGTTCAGAAAAGCAATGACCTTAAACACCCATTGCTTGAGAAGGAAAATGAAATTCCCTCCCAAGAGAGTGATACTTTTACCAATGCTGGAATTTGGAGTAAGGTTACGTTTCAATGGCTGAACCCGCTTTTCAAACGAGGTCGAATCCAAAAGCTGGAATTGCCTCATATTCCATCTGTTCCTCCCTCCGAAAAAGCAGAATACGCGTCCTGTTTGCTCGATGAATTGCTGACGAAACAGAAGATGGAGGATTCTTCGTTGCCAAACTCCATAATGCGGGCAGTGCGAATATCATTATCCGTTAACGGTGTTTTTGCAGGTAAAACCTTTGTTCTTGAATCACTTTTCTTTTCAGTTTCTGTGTTTTCAGTCGTTTTTATGTGTTCTTTTATTAATTTTTGTAGGAGCCAATACGGCTGCATCATATATAGGTCCTTTTCTGATTACAAATTTCGTAAATTATTTACTCGAAAAGCAAGACAATTCAAGCATCCGGCATGGACTGATTCTTGCGTTAGTATTTTTCGTTGCTAAGACATTGGAATCATTGAGTCAAAGACAGTGGTATTTTGGTGCTCACGTAATTGGTGTACGAGTACGAGCAGCCCTCACTGTGTTGATTTACAAGAAATCTATTTCCATCAAGTATTCCGGTCCAAGCAATGGTAAAATTATTAATTTGATCAATGTGGATGTTGAAAGAATAGGAGACTTCTGCTGGTACATTCATGGCGTTTGGTTGCTCCCGCTTCAGGTATTCTTAGCCTTGGCTATCCTTTACAGGAATCTTGGTGCAGCACCCTCTGCTGCGGCACTTCTTTCCACAATATTGGTCATGGTATGCAACATACCGTTTGCTAATGGGCAAAAAAGGCTTCACTCCAAGATCATGGAAGCGAAGGATTCAAGAATCAAAATAACATCGGAGATTCTGAAGAGCATGAGGGTATTAAAGCTACATTCATGGGAGTCCACATTCTTGAAGAAGCTGCTTCAACTCAGGGAAACAGAGAGGGATTGGCTGAAGAGATACCTTTATACATGCTCGGCGGTGGCCTTTCTCTTCTGGGCTTCACCTACTCTAGTTTCAGTTACCACTTTTGGTGTTTGCATTATACTAAACACACCGTTAACAGTAGGTACTGTATTGTCCGCTTTAGCTACTTTCAGAATTCTACAAGAGCCTATCTACAACCTGCCAGAGCTCATTTCCATGATTATGCAGACAAAGGTATCGATTGATCGTATCCAAGAATTCATCAAAGAAGATCAAATGAAGCTGAATCCTTGCCATACTTCAAAAACGTCCAATGTCATGATTGTTATTGGGAAGGGAGAGTATGAGTGGAAAAGAAGCAATCAAAACTTAAAGAAACCTACAATCAGAATTACGGAGAAAATAAAAATACCAAAGGGATACAAGGTGGCAGTTTGTGGCTGTGTTGGTTCTGGCAAGTCAAGCCTACTATTGAGTATACTTGGTGAGATTCCCAAAATTTCTGGGCCAGGAGCAAAAGTGTATGGAACAAAAGCTTATGTTCCACAAAGTGCTTGGATTCAGACTGGAACGGTAAGGGAGAATGTATTATTTGGCAAGAAAATGAATAGGGGTTTTTATGAGGTTGTTTTGGAAATTTGTGCCTTGGACCAGGATGTCAAGATGTGGGCAAATGGAGATTTGACTGTAGTGGGGGAGAGAGGGATGAACCTAAGCGGGGGACAAAAGCAAAGAATTCAACTTGCGCGAGCTGTGTATAGCGATTCAGATGTTTATATTTTGGACGATCCTTTCAGTGCTGTTGATGCACATACCGGAACACACCTGTTTAAGGCAAGCCAAATTTCCCATAATTTATTTTTCCTTTGGCTTTCTGATATCGATGAGTTTATGCTTTATGTCGTGAAATGGTTTTAATCAGACATTGTAATGTTTTGCAGAAATGTCTCTTGCAACATTTGTCTCAGAAGACTGTTATCTATGCTACCAACCAATTAGAATTTTTAGAGGCAGCAGACCTTGTCTTGGTAAGTTTTTGAAATTTTCGCTTTTATGCTCAGATAAAACATGATTTATCAAGTCTCTTATCTATCGCGTTCAATTCAATTGTTGATAGGTAATTAAAGATGGTCAAATTTCTCAGTCTGGAAAATATGAAGATTTAATTGTGGATCCCAACAGTGAACTTGTCAGACAAATGTCTGCACATAAAAAGTCATTTGAACAGGTTAACACATGCCAACAAGATGATTCCTGTAACAGCAGACCTCATCAAGTTAATCTAATAGAGGTTTCGGAAGAAAAGGAGCCTTTTAACAACGGCAACCTTTCAGAAAAAAGTCATGAAGAAGAAGCGGTAACTGGTCGAGTAAAATGGCATGTTTACTCATCATTTGTCACTTCTGCTTATAGAGGTGCTCTTGTCCCGGTCATCCTTCTCTGTCAAATCCTCTTCCAGGGATTACAAATGGGCAGCAATTACTGGATTGCTTGGGCAGCGGATAAAGAATCCAGGGTCAGCAAACAACGGTTGATTTGGGTATTTGCTCTGTTGTCTGGTGGGAGTTCCATCTTCATATTGGGAAGGGCAGTTTTTCTGGCAACTATTGCTATTCAGACTTCTCAGCGTCTCTTCCTAGGAATGATTACTTCAGTTTTCCGAGCACCAATTTCATTTTTCGACTCCACACCTTCTAGTCGAATCCTCAATAGGGTCAGTTTTAAAATTATCTTATGTTTGCTAGTTTAATAGTTCTTACTCATTAAAGTATAAATCAAGTTATACCACTTAATTCTGATTTCCCTGGCAGTCTTCCACGGATCAAAGCACAGTAGACATGGATATTCCATACAGATTAGCTGGATTAATATTTGCCCTCATCCAGCTAATAAGCATCATCATCCTTATGTCTCAAGTGGCCTGGCAAGTCTTCATTCTTTTCCTTGTCGTTCTTGCACTCTCCGGCTGGTATCAAGTAAGTAATACTCCGTTTTGATTTCTGTTTTAATTTTTAAACGTTTTGATTATCAGCACCATATTGAACATTGTGCATCACACAATGCATATAATATTGTGGGGTTATTATTTTATGGAATTTGGAGGTTTTTTTTTTTTTTTTCCAGCTCATATTCAAGTAACAGGTTATTTTATCCTCTTTTAATTATTTTGCAGGCTTATTACATTACCACAGCCAGAGAACTCGCCAGGATGGTCGGAATTCGAAAGGCTCCAATTCTCCATCACTTTTCAGAATCAGTAACAGGGGCAGGAACAATTCGGTGTTTCAATCAAGAAGACCGTTTCTTGAAAAAAATAATGGCCCTGATCGATGATTATTCCCGCGTAGCCTTTCACAATTATGGCACTATGGAATGGCTATCTGTTCGGACAAACTTTCTGTTCAACCTTGTCTACTTTCTACTTCTTATCATCTTGGTGAGCTTGCCTAGGTCTGCCATTGACCCTAGTAAGTGTTTTATTAAGCATTAGTTAAACTGTTAGTATGTCTTGGAAAGCTTTATCAGGCATTCAAATTCCTACTCTGAACTAATGGACTACTTGCCCTGGTCTCAGGTTTGGCTGGACTGGCAGCTACCTACGGTTTGAACCTAAATGTCCTTCAGGCTTGGGTAATATGGAATATGTGCAATGTAGAAAACAAAATGATATCGGTCGAGCGAATTCTTCAATTCACAGATATACCAAGTGAGGCACCGCTAGTGATTGAAGATTGTAGACCGGCGCCTGAATGGCCTATGGCTGGCAGAATTGAACTTGAAAACCTTCATGTGCAATATAATCCAGCTCTCCCAACCATTCTCAAAGGGATCACTTGCACCTTCCCTGAAATGAAGAAAATAGGAATTGTGGGCAGGACAGGGAGTGGAAAATCCACTCTAATCCAAGCTCTCTTCAGAGTAGTAGAACCCTCGGGAGGACGGATTCTTATCGATGGTGTTGATATATCTAAGATAGGTCTGCAGGACTTGAGGTCAAGGTTGGGCATAATTCCACAAGACCCGACATTATTTCAGGGAACCGTGAGGACCAATCTGGATCCTTTGCAACAACATTCTGATCAAGAGATATGGGAGGTGAGGATCAAAACCTTTTATTTTAGATGGATATATGGTGGTGTTGTTACTTATGCAACTCAATAACCCAGGTTATCAATCAATGTGGACTGGCGGAGATTGTTAGGCAGGACCAAAGGCTTCTTGATGCTCCTGGTATGAAAATCTCGTAATGTACTCATTTAATGGAAGTTGTTCAATTATGTTGTTCTCTCATTTACCATAATTCATTTGAAAATTTGGTTTATATTACAGTTGATGAAGATGGAGAAAACTGGAGTGTTGGACAAAGGCAGCTTGTGTGCCTCGCTCGAGTGCTCTTAAAGAAAAAGAAAATTCTTGTGTTGGATGAGGCTACAGCTTCTATCGATACAGCAACAGATATTGTAATCCAGGAGACAATAACGAAAGAAACGAGTGGATGCACCGTGATCACTGTGGCTCACCGGATTCCTACTATTATTGACAACGACTTGGTTCTAGTTCTTGATGAAGGTAGTGTAAAAATTCTTAAAATGGAGCTTTTTCTTCCAGTAAATATAATAAATATAAAACAACTTTGGAACTTCACGAACAGTGAGAATACTTATGACTGCTATTATAACCTGCTCCCTAGATTTGTCCGAAAAGTGATAGAACAGTTCACTTTAGCATATTATTGAAAAACGTATCATTGCTTAGGTGACATGATCTGAACTGATTGTCTTTTTTAACTGTTTGAATCATACAGGCAAGGTTTTGGAGTATGATTCTCCAGCTCGGTTACTTGAGGATAGTTCTTCGGCATTCTCCAAGTTAGTGGCAGAATTCTTGAGGAGATCTTCCAAGCGCAACTGCTAAAGCAATCCATGATCATAACGATTTGGTAGATAATACGCATGAGCCTTAATCATTCCAATCTCTGAAATGATTGGCGGCATAATCCGTCTGCACAGGCCTGTGTTTTATCATGCTAATCCATGCAAGGGCACAGACCAAGTTGTATCAGAATAAAAATGTTTCCTTCGGTTGAGTATAGAAAATATGGATGCCATAGAGGCTCGGGAAGTAGAGGCGCATCTCTGTAACTCCCGAATGATGTAGTTGGTTCAAGTTATCATTCTCACTACCCAAATGTTGAAGTGAATGGATGAAGGATGAAGGATGAGGTTCTGCAACTGAAAGTACAGTACTGATGGTAATTGAAAATCCGGAAGGACCTGCTGCTGGGACGGCAAAGTTTTGGAATCCCCAACCCGAGTTGAAGTTCGGTGCCTAAAGTAAACTTTAACCACACCAAAAAATTGTAATTGTTAAGAGAGAAAAAAATAAAAAACTTATCTCTGTATCACCTTAGATATCCTTAATTGACTGCAGCCTAATGCAATATTTGAATTTGACAGTCAATTTATTATTTGAATTTCAAATGTGCAATATTGTATTACGTCTTCCTGTTTGATCAAGAGCTTGGATCTCAATCCTAAAGCAGGAGCAAAAATATGGCTCAAGTGATGAACATTGAGATCACCAAGAAGGAAACCACGAAACCATCCTCTCCAACTCCCCACAGCCTCAAAAGCTTCAAGGAGCATATGGTCATCTGGTTCTCTTGTACCCCAACAATGTCAATGAGGTTGCGACGAAGGAATGATCTCAGCAGCTGAAGAAATCACTCTGGAAACCTTAACCCGGGCCAACCTCTTGCCGGAAGAATAAAAGATAACATATTTATTGATTGCAATGATGAGGGTGCTGTTTACCTTGAGGCTCTAGTTAACTCCCTTCTCTCATCATTCCTTGATCAACCCGATTTTGATTTTCTAGAATTGTTCCTTCCAATTGAGATTGGAACCTCTGAAGCAGCAACTGGGCCTCTTCTACTTGTTAAAGCAGTTTCTTTGAGTGTGGTCGATTGGCCATAAGCGTGTGCTTTGCACACAAGCTTGCTGATGCATCAATGCTTGGCATTTTCATCGAAGCTTGGTCTGCCACATCTCTTGGTATTGGTGACACTGTGGTTCCAGACTTCAGCAATGCAGCAACCAAGTCCCACCTGGAGATTTCTCAATGCTGAGGCCTTCCGTGGAAAGTTGAAGGTAGAAAAGTGTGTCACAAAGAGAATTTTATTTTTATTTATTTATTTATTTATTTTATGATGGACCAAAGATCAGGGATGCATCCAAATTAAGTTAAGGGTGTCAATGGTGTTACAATCCATGAACTTACGCGAAGGGATTGTGCCACCATCGATAGGAACGTCAGTGGGAACCTTGTAGGGTACTACACTGCAATGGCGGACAAGAGTAGGATAGAGTTATTGGTTTCTCAAATAAGGAAGGCGATGATCAAGTTTAATAAAAACCATCCCAAGAGGAATATATGTTCAAGTTTAATAAACTTGTAGGGTACTACACTGCAATGGGGAATATATGTTCAAAGTCATTTGCGAGTATTTCAAAGAGATTGGAAGCATTATGAGAAGAGATGACACAAACTTCATCTGCACAAGTGTATGGAACTTTGGAATATATGAGATTGGTTTCGGGTGGGGAAAGCCAATTTGTGGGAGCTTCCCAGCTGGTGCCCTCAAGAATTAACGTTGCTACTTTGATGGACACCAGAAAGTGTGATGACCTGCACGGATAAGTTTAAGTGAGGAAGACATAGCTTTATTGAACGTGACTCGGAGCTTCTTGCATATGCTTCTTTGAATCCAAGCGTATTTGAACCTGTAACAAGGAGCTCCTCTTTAATTTTTGAGGATATCGTTTGTGTTTCTTTTTTGTTTTTCTAAAATAATAAAACTGTTCCTTCATGTTTGGTTCATAATTAATATGGAGCCATTTCTTGTGTCCTTGCAACTATGTGTTGTGCAATGTCATTTTACTTGCATAGAGTTTCTTTTTACTCCGGCCTAGGTTTTTTGTTTTTTAAATGCAAGAGTTGAATGGTAATTAAAGAAGATTTTTCTTTAATTCGATTCATAATCATATTTTAATCTAATCTGCATAAGGAGGAAGTTTCGAATTTGGGGGCAGGTGGATAGTAGACTGCTATAGCTAACTTGATTACACGCCTATTTGCCAATTAAAAGGAGAGTTCGTAGAATTTACATCACATGTTGTAATCTAACAGACCCAATTCACAACCTTTGCATGCATTAACAAACCCCACTTCAAAAGGCTTATTTTGTGAGGTTTTTGTGCTTGTGCTTAATTTTCAGCACCATTCCTTGTCTTTAAAAGGAATCAAAGTGGGGTAGGCTGAACAATTCTTCAAATTGGGTTGAAAGGATTAACCTATTTTCACTAAGGGGAGGGACAATATGACACCACCTATAGAGATAAGTATTATAGCTAGAGAAAACATCAAACCCTCCTCTCCAACTCCCACTCACTTGAAAACCTTCAAGCTTTCAGTTTTGGATCAAATGGTTCCACCCACATACATTCCAATCCTGCTTTTTTATCCCACAAGTGATCATCAAAGAGTCCAGCAACTAAAGAAATCGCTATCCGAAACTCTAACTCACTTCTACCCTTTTGCCGGAACAATCAAAGACAACGCCTTTATCGAATGCAACGATGATGGGGCATGCTTCATCGAAGCTCGAGTGAGCTGCCTACTCTCACACATCCTCAATGAACCCGATCATGAAGTACTGAAACAGTTTCTGCCCATTAACTTTGAGTCCTCAGAAGGCGGCAAGGGATGTGTGCTGCTTGTTCAAGCCAACTACTTCAAGGGTGGTGGAATCGCTGTAGGACTATGCCTTTCCCACAAGATAGCTGATGCAGCCACGTTGAGCACATTCATCAGAAGCTGGGCTGCCAGCGCTTCTGGTTCTGATCAGAGAGTGGTGAATCCTTTGTTTGATTCAGTGCCAATGGCCCCACCAAAAGACATCTCAGTGGACCCACCATCTGTTGAGATGAAAGTGTACAAGTCTGTGACAAAGAGGTTTGTATTTCATGGCTCAAAGATTGCTGACCTAAAAGTAAAGGTTGCTAATAATTTTGTTGAAAACCCTACAAAGGTGGAAGCTTTAGCTGCCCTGATTTGGAAATGTGCAAGGAAGGCCTCAAGGGTTACTTTAGGGTTTTCATCCAGGCCATCAGCATTTTACCAAAACGTGAACATTAGAAACAAAATTGTCCCTCCTGTGCCTAATGGGTCTGTTGGGAACTTTGTGGGGTCCTTCATTGCAAGGTCAGAAGAGGCTGCTGAGACAGATTTGCATGGATTGGTAGCTGAACTGAGGAAAGGGATTGAACAATTTACCAGTAAGGCCAAAAGGGTTCCACTGAGTGAGGACATCTCGGTAATTTCAGAGCCTCAGATGGCGGCTATAGGGTTTTTAAGTAGGGATGACATGGACTTTTATGTATGCACCAGTTGGTGTAGGTTTGAATTGTATGAGGCTGCAGATTTTGGGTGGGGGAAGCCAATGTGGGTGAGCTCAGCAGTTCCCACCTGCAATAACATGGTGATTTTGGTGGATGCAGAAGGTGGTGATGGGATAGAGTGTTGGATAAGATTGAACGAAGACGAAATGAAAGTGTTTGAGTGTGACCAAGAGCTTCTCTCATATGCTGCTTTCAATCCAAGCGTCTGGAAAACTGGTTAACCAAACTTATCATACCTGGGGAAAAACTTGTTTTTAAGCCTTATTTGTGGGACAGTTCACTTTGACAAAAACACAATAGCAGACTGAAGCACCCCTTTATTCTTTTGAATAATTTATATTTTTCCAATTGCAAGACAATGTTCCTAATCATTTGCTGATGCTTAACCTATTGAGGTGCCTCACTTAAAATTCACAAAGTTAAACTCACTAACATTGTTATGGGACATTATCGACTCATCAATGCTTTTACTTGTGTATTTAATTTAAGTAAATTAATAATATCACGTAACTATATTACTTTCACACACCAAATATCTCCTACATTTATGATCCTAGCATCCAATATTTGACATTTCAAAATCATGATGTGTGCATGGAGGGACAATGCCTCAATAATCCCACCTACATCGGCAGAAAGATAAGAAGCCTATCAGTATAAATTGCAACAAAGTTAAGGCCACTGCAATTTCAATGTAAACTCTGCGAATTCAATTAGAATTTGTCTTTGTAAATTAACCAGCTTCACCAAATATGGTTGTTAAGACCACGGTGCAACCCCAAGTTGAAATAATTTCCATGGAAAGCATCCAGCCTTCCATTTCGACACCACCAGATCAGATCGTAAAACCTGCAGTCTCTCATCTCGACCAGTTCCAAAGTCCCACTTATTTGCTGTTGTGGAAAAAACTAGAGTACATGACTCTAGCACAAGTGTTGGAGAGACAAAACAAGTAAACAAATTACTTGTATTACACATACAAAATATTACAACACTCACAAGGACACAACTTTAGAAGCTATGACCCTCACTCTTTCTAGAGACATACTCTAGACCACTCACAATCTTACAAGACCACTCTTACTTCTCACTCTCACTTGGTTGCTTGCTTGGTTTATTGTTTTATTTGGTTTCTTACTTGATTGGTTGATTAATTAGCAATACACTCCACCTATTTATAGGTGAGGTTTGCCGACATTGGACATTGCTAGATCATTCTAGCTACTAATCATGCATGCCACTGACATATGGCTAATGGCCATACAATATTACAGGTTGCTTGAACATGCACATCCACTTAACAACTTGCTAGAATTATAAAGCGGGAGCCTTGTGCACTGGGTACGACCTTTTTATGCATGCACGTTTTATAAAGCACCACCGACTAATCAGCTTCCTAGAATCTTCTAGTACAATCCTATGCATGTTTGAACTAGAACAATCTAGTTCCCTTATACCGACTAATCTTAATGGGCTGGTGTTGATCTTTAACATTTGTCACTTCTTTACTTCTACAATTATTTTTTTTCACTTATTTGCCACCGGTTTGCCGGTCGGACCGGAGACTGTAGTGATGAGGGAGTCACATTGGTACAAGCAAGAATAAAATGTAACCTAACCCAAGTTCTTGGTGCTCCTACAGATGAAATTCTGGACCTTTTACCTGTGGATGGTTTGAATTGTAAAAGTTTATACTCCATCACTAGCCTCTTACTTGTCCAGATCAGCTTCTTCGACCATGGAAGCATGGTACTTGGTGGATCACAAATCTCAGGACCCTATTCAACCTGCAAGCAGCAATAGAAATGGCTATGGAAGAAGGGGAAGTAGAAGCAGAGCTCCTGAAATGTTTTTGTATTAATATTCTTTTTATCAAATTAATCACTGGGCAAAACCATTACACATTGGACCATTCATACTACTCCCAACCCCACTGGCTAGCAGAATCTAACAAACTTTCCTAATTACATGTAATAATCCCATTTAACTAACTAATTCAATGTATATGATTAAGATAATCAGGATCATAATAGTGTTTGCCTGAATCACAAGTTAGGAGGTAAGTGTTTTTTCCCCATTATTGATTTATCGGGAAAATCTTCGCAATGCCCCCTTAAACTAGAACTATCTTTCAACTCGCTCTCTGGACTTTCAATTGGGTTCGAGCCACCTACTTCAATAGAACGTGCAGCTTTGCCACCTTTCAAATTCTCTGTCATGGTTATGCTTGTTCATTCAAAGAGCATTGCTTATTAGTAGAAAACTGATAGCAACCCTACTGAAGTTGTTGTATGACATTGTGGCCAAACTGAGGGAGGGGAAGAACCAATTCTTGGAGACGTATGCCAAAAGATTGAGGGGAGAAGAATGGCCAGGTCTCATGATTGAGTGGCTACAACAATTAGGGGAACTGTATGAAGAAAGTTGAGGTTCCACCATAAAACCAATTGGCAATATGGAGAGTAGCCCAACCTCTTATAAGTCCATGCAAGGTCCCTCCTCCCATCAATGTGGGACTCATTCTCAACACTATGCACCAAAATAAACATCATCAATGATGAGGTTGTTATAGATGTAGCAGCTAGTGCAGGTTCCCACTGCATGGGGTGGATTTTGGGTGGGGAAAGCCTGTATGGGTGACCATTCCAAGCCACAACTTAAAGCGTAGTTTTTATTTGATTGATGCCAGAGATGGGGAAGGTGTTGAGCATCTGCGAATCTGACGGAGGAGTACAGAATGAGATCCGGATATCCGCGCATTTGCCTCTCTGAATCCCCCAGTGAACTTCTAGGATGAACGGCGTCTAACATTATCTAGATCTCTAGGTCACCTAGTACTTAGGTACATAGAGATCAATTAGCCTAAAATAATGGGAGTTGTAATTGGCGCTCTCAAAAATTCATCATGCACTCCTCCATAGTGTTATTTCTCTACATAATCTCTTCACGTGAGGAGTGCAAATTGACAATTTTGGAGTGTCAATAACAACCCTCAAAAGAATAAAACTGTTTGCTTAAATCTCCTATAATTGATCAGGAAACACATGATCAAGCTGCAGAGTATATTTGATCACACCATGACATGATTCAGTAGTATCAGTACCATAAACATCTAATCAGGAAATTAACACATGACCACTAATCAACTGCAGAGAAGCTAATTACTCGTTCAAATTAAAGACGTGAAAGTGAATTTTCCTTTACATTACCAACTGGAGATTTAAGCAATGCGATGAACTCTTTGTGAAGTTCAAACTTGGCCATGTCTTCCTCTGTCAAGCTAAAATACGACTCGATACCATCGCCATTTTTGGTGTCCATGAAAACTATCTGATTATTGATATCCATGGCAGCCATGCTCACCCATGCAGGCTTCCCCCAACCAAAATCAGCATCGTAAATAGGAAACCTGCACACACTCGAAAAAGTCAATGTCACCAGCTCACCTTTTGCAAACCTCTCCATTCTTTTCCTCATGAAATCCAAATGCTCTCGATATCCCTCTTGAAATCTCCTCATATAATTATTGTCAATGTTCTCAATTTCCTCTATCACCTGCCTCACCAATCGATGGCTCTCCTCCCCATTGACCAAAGTTGGAGTTGCAGTGGCAGCCCTGTAATAATTCCCAAAAGCATGCTGAGGCAAAGGTGGGTCAAACCTCGACCGCAGATTCATAATATAAACAACCGTGTATAATGTTTGGGTGCGCGATTGATTTGAAATAGCGACACAATCTCTTTCTCTCCTTGATGCCAGAAAGATGTTCCATAATAAAGCTGATAAGGCCTCAACTTTTGAAGGGCGTTTTTGGGTTTTGGAAAAGTTCATGCTCTCTTCATATCTCGATCTTAAAGCCTGAACCTTTGAGCCATCGAACACAAACCTCTTTGTTACGATTGCTTTCTTGTTGACAATCGAAACCCCTAAATACCCATCCATATTTTTTGGTGGGAAGATTGATGCTGCAGAAAAATCCGGACCCACAATAATATTACTCTTCCCTTGTGCATCACAATTAGCTTGAGCTGCCCATCTGTTCACAAATGTAAAAGATGTTAACCCATCTGCAATCCTATGAGAAACACACAAGCCAATAGCAAATCCTCCACAGTCAAACACATTAAGTTGAACACCAAGGGGTACTTCAGTAACTTCGCCTAGCCTGTAGGGCAGCAACTTGTTGAGTTCGGAGACAAAGGGGCTGGCGATCATATCAGAGAGGGGTTGGGATTTGACTTTGGATTCGAAGAATGGGACGCCTTGGTCGCTGCAGTGAACAAAGAGGTTGTGTTTCACTCGGCCGGCAAAAGGGTAGTATTGGGATAATATTTTGGAGAGAGACGTCTTGAGGATGTTTGATATCTGAGTGATGGTTTTGGTGCCGGTGGATTCGTAGAAGAAGAGAAAGGGGATATATGCGTGGGGAGCTAATTGATCGAGAAAGGAGAGCTGGTGATAGTGAAGATGATTTGGGGTTGGAGAAAATGGTTTGATCATCTCTATGGACTTGGAGATCACTTCAACTTCAATCTTCATTCTCACCTCTCTGTCTCTCTGCTGCTATGGGCTAATTCTTAAGGCTTAAATGTTAGAGTAAATTGTAGCAATGATCCCTGAACTTTAATCAAATTGGAGTAATGGTTCCTCAACTAAAAATCCATTACAATTGGTCCTCAATTTATCAAAATGTGTAGCTATAGTACTTTTCATCAATTTCTTCAAAATTTTGTCAAAATATGTTATGTTGGAATAACCATTTATATAATTAGGATCCCTCAACTCATCAAACTGTGTAATTATGGTCTTTTTCGTCAACTACGTAAAATTTTTTGTCAAAACGAGTTATGTTGGAATGACCATTGCTACAATTGGGTTAAAGTTAAGGGACCATTTCTCCAGTTGAATTAAAGTTGAGGGACCAAAGGTAATGGATTTTTAGTTGAGGGACCATAGCTGCACGTTTTGATGAGCTGAAGGACTAATGGTAATGGATTTTTAGTTGAAGGACCATTGCTCCAATTGAGTTAAAGTTAAGGGACCATAGCTACAATTTACTCTAAATGTTAAAATGATTTTGTTTTAGTCAAGGTATTAAATATCGATGATATCGGAAATATCGGTAGTTCAAAAACATGGAAATATCGATGGAAATATCGGGATATTATCGATATCGATAAAAATAGTATGGAAACCACGGAAATTGTAAGAAAAACGTGGAAATTTTTATTGAAATTTTGCAGGATGTTTATTTAGTCAATTATCTATTAGTTTATCATAAAAAATTGGAAGGAAATACATTGCATGATGAATTTAACTGATTTAAGTTGATTATATAGCGAGTTGGCAAACATTGTGAGTGTATAAAATATGTAGTAATTAATGAAAGAATTTAAACACACCATAATCATTTATATATAATGAATTAGTACAATATTTTACATTTTATACATTACATGGTAAGATAATGAGTGACTTGGTACCACATATAGTTCCTATGAGGTTCAAAATTTTCACTATCTTCGTCATCTCTATGTGTAGAGTAAGTGCATTTTAGCATATTTTCACAAAAACATAAGTGATATGGTGGTCAAGGTATTGAAGGAGTAAAATAGGAGGGGTTCGAATCCCCTTGGTGTTTTTTTTAAATATAGAAATTTTTCCTAGATAATAAATATTAGCTTGCAAGCCTTGCAGACATCTTAACAACCATATAAATATTACAGGTAGGGCTGGGTTCGGTTCTCAGCGGTTCGGTTTTTTCCCAGAACCGAAACCGAACCGAAATTTCGGTTCGGTTCGGTTCGGTTAAAAAATTTTCTGTTTTTTCTCGGTTCGGTTTTTTTTTCGGTTCGGTTTCGATTTTTTTCGGTTTTTTTTTTCTTTTTTCTTTTTTTTCCTTCCCTCCTCCAAAAAATAAAAAAAAATGGAAATATGAAAGTTCACATTCAAAGTCACTTCAAAGTCATCCACATGAAAACCTACAGGAATGAAATCAATTTTACACATCTAAAACAACACAAATACATGCTTGGAAAATTCCTCACGGAATTTTCACCTAAGGTTTCCTCTTTACTGAAAGCAAAATTCCCCACGGAACCAATCACCTGTTCACTTTGGGTTTGCCTGGGGCTTTGAAGCCTGAATGTTTCAAAAGCTTGACATGGTGAATCATCACCTGCGGTTTCCTCTTTACTGAAAGCAAAATGCCCCACGGAACCATTCACCTCTTCACTTTGAGTTTGACTGTGGTTCTGAGCACTAAATGTTTCAAAAATCGGACAAGGTGAATCCTCCTCATCTGATTCACTGATCTTCATCAACTCTTCGTAAGCCTCATTGTACGCATCTAAAGCTTCTCCCGATAAGTTCATGACTAGAGGCTCTGCCGTGGTTTTGCAATTAGCAACCCTAGAGCGAAAGCTGCAGAACCAAATCCTTAATCCAACATACCCAAAATAAATTGCAGAACCAAAATTTCTCACAAATTAATGAAACCTCAACTAATAGTGTTCATAACTGAAGTTACCCAAAGCAATTGCAAAACCAAAACCCATGAAATTGAAAAGCTACAGAACCCATGAAATTGAAAATAAATTCTGCAAAACGCATCAAATTGAAAACAAAATATGTAGAACAAACATGAGAGAAATTATTATAAGACTAACCTTGCAAAGGAATGAAGTAGTGGGTCGAGACTCGAAACAACAAGAGGTCGCGGGTCGCGGGTCACAAGTCATGGGGGTGAGAAACTGAGAGCAAATCAGTGACGACGAGTGAGATGGCGACACTTGTAGGTCGCTGTGAAGGAAGAAGACGAAGTGGAAGAGCGGCGGAGTTGGGAAGGAAGGAGAGAGGGTCCAGAGTACAGAGGAGAGGGATAAGGGAAAAGGGTCGCGCCGTCGTGGATCGCCTGAGAGATTGAGAGAGACAGAGCGATTGAAGTTGAAGACCCAGCGAGAGAGAAAGATGAGGCTCGGCTGCGCAAGAGGGTTACTGGGTTAGGGTTACACTGGAGGAGGCAGGGAACGAGAGAGAAATGAGGGGAATGAAAAAAAATAAAAGGTATGGCTGCTAGTGGCTAGGGTTAAAGGGTTTTGTTGATTTCTCCAAAAAAATTAAAAAACTCTCAGAAATCCTGGAGGTTCGAACCCGTGTGTTAGGGATTGAAAAGGTTCACCGAAACTAGCTTGGCAACAAGGTATGTTTTGTTATGATTGTATGACTAAACTATTTATAATATTTAAAAAATAATTAAATATATATATCGGTTCGGTTCGGTTCGGTTTCCGAACCTCAAAAACCGAAACCGAACTGGTCAGATTCGGTTCGGTTTGACAGTTTCGGTTCGATTTTTTTCGACCTCGGTTCGGTTTGGTTTTCGGTTTTTTCGGTTTTCGATTTTTTGAACCCACCCCTAATTACAGGCTGAATATGTAATTATAAACACATCTATAGCGAGTTGGATAAGGTCTAGGTGTGTGGTTGACAAAGGGAGGGATTTGAATCCCCTTGGTGTTTTTTTTTTTTCTTTCTTATTTTCTTTTCCTATTTTTCTTTTGTTTTCTCCTGCCTTTCAACTAAATAATTCATAATTTATATTTATATAACCTTTATATATATATATATATATAATATATATCTCAAACTTTTAAAATTATAAAACACCCACGTAGTGTGGGTGGATCTCAAACTTGGACAACTTTTTAAAATACAAAGAACCCACTACGTGGGTCTCTCCCCTACCCCGAGACCCCATTTCCTTCTCACTCACTTCGACTCTCTCTCTCTCTTCTCTGCACTGTCTCTCTCTCTCGAAACCCTCTTACCTCTCTCCCTCTCTTGCCGTGACCACACACACACACGCAGCAGCACCATCTACTCGACTCGAGCAGATCGAGGAACACATCATCAGTCTTCTCTCTCCCGCCTTTGCGAGAATGGAGGAGCCTATAACTTTCCGGCGAGTCTTCTTTGATTTTCCGGTTAGGTAAGTCTCAGATCTCTCTCTCCGTGTTAGTGTGAAGCTCAAATTAGTTCGATCTGCTGCACTGCCCTTCGTTCACCACCGCAGAAAGAACAGACAGGGAGCGAGCGAGCGGAGGGGAGACACACCACACCCACCCCACCGTGACCTCCACCACAGTGGCGCACACTCCGACAAGCACCATCACCACCTGTGAGAGGCGCAGATCTTGGCAGAGAGAGGCGCAGATCTTGGCAGCTGCGACGACGGAGCTTGGCTGCCGTTCCGACGATGGAGAGAGCGATATTATCGATAATATCGCAATATTTTGACGAAAACTAATTAGATACCTATTAAAATATCGGTAACGCGAAAAACCGATAATATCGGCGTTTAAGACCTTGGTTTTAGTCATTCAATTAATTTAGTTCCTGTATTTTTAATTTGTCCAATTTAATCTTTATGTTTATTTCCGTTAGCTAATTAAGGGTATTTTCATCTAATTTCTGTAAAATATTTTTTTTATAAATTATTATAAATTTATTTGATTTAAAATATATAAAGGAAATAAAATTAAAAAAAAAGAAGAAGATATTCTCCTCCAACTATCCGACCTCCGCTTTATTATTACGAGTGCTACTATTCTCATCCTCTGTCTTATTTCTACACGTACTGTTTTAAAAAAAATGGATACTTTGGATGCGCTCCCTAATCTTAAACATTCTTTGATTAAAACCTTAATGGTATTCAAAGTTTGATCAAAGTCCCTTGACTTTGTACATCTCATTATATTACAATTAATATTAATATTTTTATAGTTTTGACATTAATTGTTTGATATTTTATGAGATTATAAATTTAAAATCCCTCATTATAATACTATTAGAAACGGTTACAATAAAAAAATTCAAACATTTTGATTGAATAAATGGATAAAAACTATGTAAAAATAATAAATAATAAATGGCAAAAGAATGTATCCATAGTGTTAAAAAAATTGGTACATTTTACAAAAAAATTGTTACATTTCACATATAACATAGTGGTACATTAATAAAAAGGAATGGGTATATTATAAATAAATTAGGGTACAGATAAAAGATTAAAAAATTATGAGTACAAACGAATTTAAAAAAATATAGACGCTAAAAGAAATTAATACATGGGTACAAAATAAAACTAAAAATAAAATACTACAAATTTAAAAAAATGTTGCAAATTAAAAGTGGTTACAAACTAAAAATATAAATATATGATACAAGGTTTAGGCATAAAACATAAATATACCATATGTAATTTTTCTATAATTGATTAATATACAATGTCACGTGACGGTATATACACATGGGTACAAACACAAATAAAACTTAAAAAAATATGGGCACAAAAAGAAACTAATATATGAGTACAAATTAAAAATGAAAAGAAAATTGGTACAAATTAAAAAGAGGTACAAACTAAAAATAAAAATATATGATAAAAATTTAGCCATAAATATAAATATACTAATTTAAACATTTTTAACACTAAAGGAATATATTTAAAAATAAAAATATTTTATTATTCAAATAATTAATGATGTTATTAATACCTAAGGACCTTGATAAAAAATTGAAAATTAATAGGATTTTAATCAATGGAGTAGCAAAAAGAAGGATATGAACATAATTTCTCCCTTAGAAAATTTAATAACCGTTTACCCTCATGTAAAATGTCATATAAGGACTAAGAGAAAACAAAATCGGATTGTTCACCTTCACCCACACTCAACTTGTAATCTCAATTCCCAAACATCTCGTCTTCATTTTGTTCCGTTTAATGTTTAATTTATGTTTATTGGATCCTAAATTATTGAATTTATGATTGAATTATGAGTTGATCTTGTTGTATTCGTCGAGCTCATTGTAATACACATCTCAAACGCACTGAATGCATCAAGCCGTATAAAGATGTCATTAGAGTTTCTTTCTCTACCGATTTCGTTTCTTATTATTTCGGCTTTGATTCTATTGATTCGTTGAGCGATTGACTCTTCATCTCTGTTGTTGCATCCCTTCGTGGTCTGCTGTGGGGTTGGTCAGGTGGTTAAAGTGCAGAAGGGTGGCTGCGGTTTGCTTCCTTCTATTTAATAAATTTTCTTTTATTAAGTATATTTGAATAATTGAAAAATAGATGGGAAACACGCTACCAAAGCAATATGAATGTTGAATTTTGTGCCTCTCAGCGGTCAGAAATGGCTATGGGAAGGGGGAGGCTGTGCTCGTAGATAAATCTTTCATTGTGACCAGAACACAGAAGTTATATCATATGTTTTTATATAAATGATGATAAATTTTATTTTTTAAGTTATTAACTTTTTAACACACATATCCCATCATCTGTATAATGACACATAGTGTATCACTTCGTGTACTGGTCACACCGAAAAATTTCTCGTGTTGGTGAGCAGTGTCAGGGTGGGTATTGGAAGGGTACTTTGGTGATAATAGTGGGTGGGAAGATAGTAGGGTATTTTTCTTATTTTTTATGGTGGGTGTAATTATAATGTGGGGTGGAAAAATAGGACAATGGGGAGAGTCTAGTAGCACTCATTATTATCCTTTTTTTTTATGTCACAATCTTAATCATTTTTCAAATTGGAAGTTTTATTTCTTATATGTGTTATTTCTCATTAATTTGTATTTTATTGTAAAAAGAAAGAGTAATTATTTTTCATATGATGTTTCTTATGAATTTCTAAAAGAGATTGAATGAAATGTCGTTAATTGGTTAACAGAAACAAACACAAGGACTAAATTAATCAAATTGAAAACACAGAGATTAAATTTGTCATATAAACTATAATAGCGGGACGATTTTGACATTTAAACCAATTCGTAAAGTATGAATTTTTTTTTGGGAATTGTTATTAGCACTCCAATAATCTCATTCTACACTTCAAAATTTCTATATTAGAAAAGAAAAATATATTTATAAGCAGTATAAAATGAAATTTTTGAAGTGTCAATAACACTTCATTTTTTTTTTGTCAACTTAAAGGATGAATTGAAAGGTGGAATCTTTTTGGCGACATTTATTTCTTTATCCGATTAATTAAAGTATGTGGTTACCTTACCAAAGCACTAATTATTCAAGTGTTTTTTTTTTATATTTATAAATTACTTGCATTTTTAATAAAAATTAATTTTAAAATTACTCTGATGGAAAAATGCTTCAAAATTTTCAAAAGTATTTTCAAACAAGTCGATCAGACTCTTTGAGTCATCTAAACGAAGACAAGATTTCCAAATCCTTAGGCCATCTCTAATCGAAGGGTTCAGAGGGCGAGAGGGTCGAAAATAGCCTGAAAACCATCTTCAACCGAGGGTTAGGCCAGATGGCTCCACAGAATCTTAAAGGGCCAAAGGTTTGGCCAGAAATTCCAGCAATCCTGTCGGATATAACCGACATGAATGCTTAAACAAAAATTTGAATCCAACGGCTAGCTGACGCCAGTTACCGTTGGATTCAAATTTTTAGGCCAATTTTGTTTTCCTATAAATACCTAAACCATTCATTCACCATTCCTCACAAAATTTTCACCATTCCTATGTAGTTTTTAAATTTAATTTGTCGTTTTTAAATTTAATTTGTAGTTTTTAAATATAAGTTGTAGTTTTTAAATTTAAGTTGTTGTTTTTAAATTTAAATTGTTGTAGTTTTTAAATTTAAATAATAAATTATGTTTGGCCTTTGGTTGGAGACGGTTTTTTGTGACAAGGCTAAAACAAGCCCTATGGCTTTCGGTTGGAGATGGAGGCAAATATAGCTTTGTAATGTTCATTAAAATATTAATATCTTGGAGGGCCAGAGGGCTAAAACTAGCCCTCTGGCTAGCTTTCGGTTGGAGATAGCCTAACTTAATACTTAAGCAAAATTGATGGGTGAGGACGAAGGTGGTGTAGATGGGGGTGTGCTTGTGTATGTAGGTGACACATGGTTTGGTCTTTCTATCTTATAAATTCTCTTTGTATACATAGAAGGAGCCACATTAAGCCAAAGGGGGCGGATGCCTCCACTCAGTGTTTTTTTTTTTTATTTTATGAAAAAATTACTCTTCTAGTTTCTTGTGACATTACTCTTAAGTCTTAACTCTTCTATGTGATGCTGTCATTGTTGAAGGAGCATTTTTTACTATGAAATTTCTAAAGGTCGATTAAGAAATTGAATGAAATCAATAGATAAAGGATAAAACGGTTATTTTTATACAGTGAGATATTTGATGGTATTGGCAATAAAGTTGTTATGCAACGCTTTTAAAACATAAAAACACGTTTAGAGATATTGTAACATGTTGTGTGAAAAACATTATAGATTAATATATGAGTGTTTTATTTAGTACATTCTTGAACTATTTAGTTTGTGATTTTGTTGAGAATGCCCCATCAATACAGATCTCTGACTTGGTCCTATTGGTAAAGCCGTGCATAAAAAAATATGCAGGGGATCCATATCACATCAATATAGAACGATAAGGTGAGACCCCTTAATTGTTTTTCTCCTTCAAATAGAATAATCCAACTTGATAGGAAATTTATGTTTGTATTATAGTAATTGAGAGTGGCGTGCGGAACGGAAACTCAATGTTTACTACGTTAAGAACCAATACTCTATCTTATGGATGAGAATGACAACCATATCTTTATAATTCTATGATTAATAAGTAAAACCATGACTTTCGAACTTGTTCTTACTTTATATTTCTATGATTAACAAGTAAAACCTTGACTTTCGAACTTGTTCTTCATTCTTATATTTAGACTGGTTCTATTCGTATACTAATTGGGATACAAGGATTTAATTGGGAATTATTCTAATTTGGGAAGAAAAATAACGATACCTTGTTGGTTTTGATTATACTTACTAGCCGATGAGCACACACTCTGTGTGTGTGAACAATTTCATTTTTTTTTTGTTTTATTAAGAAGTGTGATTAGTTTTTAAAATTTTAAAAAGAGTATGAAAAAATGATGGTGGGACAATTTATCTTAATAAGTGCATATTTTATCTTAATATTACATAATTGCTGTTTTGTCCTCCTTATGTAAGTATTGTGTATCAAAAGTGAGGGTAAAATAGGAAAAATAGGGATATGATTGTCATTTTCTCAAAAGATACAAAATTACTATTTTGCCCTCCTTATGTAAGTATTGTGTATCAAAAGTGAGGGCAAAATAGGAAAAAGGGGGCAAAAGATACAAAATTACTATTTTGCCCTCCTTATGTAAGTATTGTGTATCAAAAGTGAGGTCAAAATAGAAAAAAAGTGGCAAAGAGTTGACAAGGAGGGTTCTATTAATAATAGTATAGATTAGAAACGGGCAAAAATACTGAAAAACTAAACCAAGTCGAATGAAGTAAAAAAAACCAAAAAACCTAGTTGCCTAAAACGTGTAATTATTCATTACGTTGACTGAGTTAAAAAGAAAGTACAAATTCATAAGCATAACAAAACACGTACAAAACACAATTTGAAGAACACTCATCCTTACTCAAATTTCAAATCTCACAGACACAATTAATTTGACTTCAAATGAGTCTATGCATTCTTTTTCTTTTGGGCAAATCACGAATAGACTCCTCATTTACAGCCTACAGAATATTGTATGATATAGTTCCAACACATTTTATTTTTCTTCTTCTTATTTATTTCCTCCGAAGTACTCAACGCATTCTTCACTACACATTTGGAGAAACAAAGGCAAGGAACTCACCATCGCCTTCAATTTTAGCCAAGTCTTCTTCCTTCATATTAATGTATGCTTCAATCCCACCACCAGACTTAGCGTCGATGAAAACAACCAAATTATTGAAAGTTAGGGCTGGCGAGCCAACCCAAGTAGGGTTTCCCCATCCAAAATCAGCTTCATACAGTGGAAACCTACACAGGCTGGTGAAGTTCAGTGTTACCATCTCTCCTTTGAAGACATTATCAGAGGTCTGTTTGATGAAATCCAAATGCTCACTGCCCTTCTGCAAGTTTTCAACGTAGTGTTTGTCGATTTTCTTCACTTGGTCTCTCACCTGACTCAGTAGGCCATAGCATTCCTCCCCGATATCCAAAGATGGGATTGTCATTGCAATTCTGTATAGATTTCCAAATGAGTGTTCCGGCAATGGCGGATCAATCCTCGTACGAAGGTTTACTGCATGGACAATGGCGTAGATCCTCTTTGGTGCAATGTCTGACTTCACCTGAGTGGCAGCCATGAAGCGGCTCCATATGAAAGCGGATAAAGCCTCCACACGAGAAGGCGGCTTTTGGTGATTTTCTAAGCTCTTGCTGTGATCACCAGCACCATATTTTGATTTGAGAGTCTCTATCTTTGAAGCCTCAAAGACAAACATTCTGGTTACAATGTTCTCCTTTGTGATGCCAACTCTTGGACTATACCCAGATATGTTCTTTGGTGGGAAGAGTTTGGCTGATACAAATTGTGGGCACACTAGATGATCACTTTGTTGTCTAGCGGTGGCTGCCCAAGTTTTGATGAAATTGAAAAACGATAATGCGTCCGCAATCTTATGGGAAATGCACAGACCGAGAGCTATTCCACCACACTCAAAGATGTTGAGTTGGACACCGAAAGAAATATCAACAACTTCATCTAGTTGGAATGGAATGAATTTGTTAAGTTCGACAGGAATTGGGTTTTGAATAACATCAGAAAGTTGGCACTTAACTCTAGTTTCCAAGTAGGGTATTCCCTGGTCATTGCAGTCTATGAACAAGTTGCCTTGGGCACGTCCGGCTAGCGGGTAGAATTGAGTCAAGGCATTGGATAGGGATTTCTTAAGCTGATTGGATATTTCAACAATATCGAATTTTGTTTCGGGCTCTGATGAGGAATAGAATATGACCAAAGGATTATAGACCGGAGGAGATATCTGGTCGAGAAAGGAAAGTTGGTATGTGCGAAGGTGATCAGGAGTTGGAGAAGATGGTCTGATAATCTCCTTGGAGATTACTACAACTTCAACCTTCATGATATCTTGATAACAAAACAATAATGGTATAAGGAGCTGGAGTTGTGCTTCTATGGTGCTCTTCAACGAGACTTATATAGAGCTAAAAGCAGCTGCATGCCAACGTGGACAGGTAGAAAAGAGATTGTAGTTAAGAAAGCAAAAAACGTAATTGGCTCATGGATCTGATTATCTCCATGACAACATGTTGGATATAACTCAACAATATAATATAATTATTTATGCTAATAAATAATAAATACGAATAGAAAAATTAATAGAGTATGAACAAAACAAAAATATAAAACAGACAACTTGAGGATCGAGGCTTGCGTACCACAATGTCATTGAAACAGAAATTTCGTCCCTACTCAGTGCTTATAGTTCTATGGACGTTTGCTTCACCAGGATTCAACGATCTAAGTTAGAATTCCAGCATCAGAAAACTAGACTTCTGGCGAATTTGTTTGTGGTACTCTCAGAATGCTTGGTATATGAGGATTGATGATTTTCCGTGTTTTGAATGATATGCAGATGCATGTATTTATAGTGAGCATATGTCTGTTCGCAACAGACATGTTTTTGGGAGGCGACTGCTGAACGTAAAGGGTGCGTTGCTCCATCTGGTGCCCATCTTTTGATAATTAATTATTAGGGAACTTTAACGAAAAGCACCCGGTACTGTTCACTTTAACGAAAAACCACATTTTTACACTAAAAAGTCAATCCTGGTACTATTCACTTTACCCTTTATTTTGTCTTTATCATTAAAACTCAAAGTTTTCAAGCCATTTTCATTAATTTTCCTTAATTATTACACCCCAAAGCCCAACCCCAAGGTGAGCCTATTTTATTCTCCAAGGTCCATCACTCCAATCACTTTCTATAAGGGACAAAACCTTATAAAGTGAGGAAACCTTGTAGTGATGAGCAATGTGGAACAATGAAATTCTAGTCAAAATTTCCAACACAACATCCATTGTTTTGTTTAACTTGAAGATTAATGAATTTCACGAATCACAACCCGAAACTCGCGGAACATGACATTGATAATATGTTTGTTCATTTTCTTTAGTATCGTTAAAAATACTTAAGCCTTTTCTTTTCTTCAACTGAGGATTAGGTTTAAGTTTTCCAATGAGATAATATGGATAGGATTTTCTGATACATTGAAGCGTCTCAGTTTAAGCAAACAATATAATACATATATATTTAGTCCAACCTGTTATTTCTTGCAGAAATGCCTATGTGTTTCGTGTGAAGTTAAGGTGCGGCGGAATTCCACATGCTAACAAGTAAGGGCAAGAGATTATGAGAGGATTCTAATGCCTCATTTTCAGTTGTTATTTTTCAACTTAAAGTGCTTTCACCTTTTTATTTTTTATTTTTTTTATTTTTTTTCAAAAGAAAGAAATTTTATTATATTTGAATGGAAATGTTTACATGTGAAGCTAAAGTATTAAATAGTCATTATGGCTCAATACCATTCCAATTTTATGAAAGCCTTCTTCCCGAGCAACAAAAGAAGCCACTAGATGTGTTGCCTTGTTGCAAACACGAGGAGTGAAGATAAATTCTACTGACCTCAACTGCTATTTCAAACACTGAACATCAAAGATGATGCCTTCAATCACAACATCAAGTTGGGTTTTCCTGTTAAACATATCCATTAAACATTTGGAGCCCGATTCTATCTGAACAACCTCAAAGCCTTTATTAATTTAAGTATTTTTCGTATTCATTTTAATTCATTTCTATGTCAAACAATGCACTCAACAAATCTCAACTAATTAATAAAACACTCATTGTCAACCAAAATCCTATGAAATTACCAATTTAACCCTCTAAAACAGAACATGAATAAGAAATATGGGGTATAAATGTAATTTCACATAACCAAGTTTTGCTGTTTTTTTTAAGCGTCACCTACATGTAATCCTAACATATCTCTAATTAAAAAACAAAAAAAAACAAAAAACAAAAAAATTCCCACTCCCACATTCTCTATCACTCCCTTCTTCTCTCATTCTATTTCAAAAACAAAAATAAAAAAAATTTCCCACACACTTTGTGTGTGCCCATATGCTAGTCTTAATTAATCAATTGCTATTTTTATGGGATCTCATCCCTTCCTCAATTTAAGGATTCAATTATCTAAATCATTTGTAACTTTATTTATTCAAAAATTGTTTTAACTAATACATATAAAAGATGACATCATTAGTTTTTTTTTTTCTTTTTTCAAGAGTGTAAGTTACAAAAATATCCTTTATAGTAATAATTTTTTACACACTTCTATCTCCCTTATCCATGTTGCTCTTTTCTCTCTTTCTCATTTCAAGAAACATTGGTCCGATTTTTCCTTTTCTCCTCTCTCTACTCATTTGCTAGCTACTTCTACGTTTTACCCTTTATAATGGTAAAGTAAACCTAGTAGTTTTCGCTCTTCGTTGTCGTGGCTCTATCTCTAGATGGCAACATAGACCTGCCATTTCTAGAATTAAACCAAATCGGAACCCCGCGACTTGATTTGGTATTGAAAGTGTAAAGCAATTTAATTCCATACTTGTCGAGAACATCTCCACCCCCAATTGGTTCTGGTCCCAACCTTCCAAACCTGACTTGAACACGTCGATCGGGCCTTTCCCTTGTCGATACAGGCAGACTTCCACTTCTGGAGCCTCCATCCTCGAAGTTTTGGGATTCAATTCGGGTTTGGAGAAGACCAGTGGGATTTTGGGCCCGCCTCTTTAATTTCCGTAGTTTTGTTGTTGGCTTTCTCGTCCATATTTTTGGGATTTTAGGTTGTAGTTTTTTCCTCTCTTTGTTGTTGGTGTTATTGTTGGTTGCAGTTGCAAGGGGTTGATAGTTGTTGGAAATTTTTTAGTAAAAATATCATTCTACATTGTCCCACATTGGTCACCACCAAAAAGTTCCGTCACTTTAAGACTTTGTCTTTGTTAGAAAGTGATTTGAGTTATGGACTTTAAAGAGTAAAATTAGGCTCAACCTTGGGTTTTGGGCTTTAGGGTATGCTAATTAATTGATAATTAATATATATTTAATATTATTAAGAGAACCCCCTTGTCAACTTTTTGTCATTTTTTTTCAATTTTGCCTTCACTTTTGATACACAATACTTACATAAGGAGGGCAAAATAGTAATTTTGTATCTTTTGCCCTTTTTTCCCTATTTTGCCTCACTTTTGATACATAATACTTACATAAGGATGGCAAAATAGTAATTTTGTATCTTTTGAGAAAATGACAAGCATATCCGTATTTTTCCTATTTTACCCTCACTTTTGATACACAATATTTACATAAGGAGGACAAAGTAGTAATTATGTAATACTAGGATAAAATATGCACTTATTAAGAGAAATTGTCGCACCATCAATTTTTCATACTCTTTTTAAAATTTTAAAAACTAATCACTCCTTAATAAAAAAAACAAAAAACAAAATGAAATTGTTCACACACAGAGTGTGTGTTCATCGGCTAGTAATTATGTAACACCCCAACCCCCAATTATATGTATAATTTTGTTGTTCCCCAAAATGTTTATGAAATTATCAATTTAGTCCATTTCTCTTTTACCCAATTGAGCTGCTCCGTGGCAGCACCCCAACAAACATCATCTCTCTCTCTTTCTATCCCCTACCCCGTGAACCATTTCCTTTCTCTATCTGGTCTCCTTCTTCCCGAACTCCCTATTCTCTTTCTCTCCCCCTCTCCCTCTCTTGAACCATGAACACAACACACACACACACACAGAGCTACACCTGTGAAGAAGACATCATCATCATCATCATCAAACCTTGTCTCTCTCTCTCTCTCTCTCTCTCTCCCGTCGCTGCGAGGAGCAGTGGAACCCAGGAACTCTCTGGCCGAGATTCCTTCGATTTTCTGGTTATGTAAGTTTGATTTTACCTTTCTTTTCGTTCTAGTGTGAAGTTTAGATGAGATTTATTAAGTTTATCTTGTTAAATTACAAGGTTTTAGAATGAAATCGACTCGGGGGAAGGCACACCCATTTTCGGCGAAACCGTGGGTGTCGAAGGAATTTTCAGTCACCTTCGGCCGTTTCAAGGCAAATGGAAGGTATAAAATTGCTCATCTCATCTAGTTCTTCATTTTGACACCTCACTCGGAGTCTAAGGATGTAGTTTGCAGTCGACCGGAGCTCTATGGCTCCGGCATTCTTCTCTGGTGCACCCAAGGCTTTTTAGGCTGTTTCTCAACCCATGGGCCTTAAGCCTGTTGTGGTTTCAGCCCAATAGCCCAGCCCAATTACTTTTTATTTTATATTGTTTTGTTTTATTTTCTTAAAACCCAAAAAGGCCTTAGGGCCATGACAGTAAGGCCCAAACCCTTTGGCTTTAAGCCTTAGGGCCGGGAGGAACTCGGGCCTCCAGCCCGTTAAGCCTAGTTTACTTTCACCTTAATTTAATTGGTTTAAAAACCAAAATGGCCTTTGGGCCATTTCTGTTGGAACTCTAAGCCCAAAACCTTTTACCCTAAACCCATTAGGCTCTAACCATCCAACCCAAATCCTTTATTTTATTTAATTCAAGCTCAAATCCTTTAGAAAACCCTTTTATTTATTTATTACCTTTTTGTGCTTAGGTGAAGTTGCTAGTGAGGAAATTCTTAATCCTTATCCGCACAACTCTACTGCTACGGATGTATCTGTGAATGGACCCCTTCTAAAATTACATGATTTCATAGTTTAATTGCATAAATGAAATTCATGCCTTACGAGTTTATGAACTAATTTTATGTGAAGCATGTTTATTGAAATGTTGATTATCGTCTCGTTATTTTGTAAGGAATTAATTGTTGGCCTATATTGAGCTATATTTTAATATATCATATTTTCTATATAAACCATGAACTGGTAGACTATCTGATGGATGCCGATATGATGCTAGAACATGTTTTCAAAACCCTTTTTTATAGTATAAACGATGGATGACTTTATACTATGAAGTGGATATATTTGAGAGGTGTAATTATTTGTGCGTACCTAGTGGACACTATGCCGCCTGGGGCGAGGATCTGGTGTTGGCAGTTAGGCCGGGA